GACATAAAGTGATACTTGTGAAGAATGTGCCTCTTAGACAAGTAGATATGAGACCAAAGGGGCGGCTTCTGTCCAGAGGTGAGAGTGGAAGGCAGAGAGAGTTAGGAGCTGGTTGAATGTTCATGGGGAATCAGGGGCGGAGGGGAGGAGTGTGCTGTCGCAGAATGGGGTGAGCAGTTGGGGTCTCATAACGATGTATGTTAAAAAAAAAATTCTGTATGGGAGACTAACTTGAAATGTAAACTTCATTTAATTACATCAATAAAAAAAAATAATGAACGTTGGTGTACACCTATCTGTTTGAGTCTCTACTCTCAATTCTCTTGGGTATTTACCTAAGAGTCAGTTGATGGGTCATGTGGTAATTCTAAGGAGCCCAGGTGGCACAGTGGTTAAGCACTCGTCTGCTAACTGAAAGGTCAGTGGTTTGAACCCACCAGCCACTCCATGGGAGAAAGATGGGACAGTCTGCTTCTGTAAGGATTTACAGCCTGGGAAACCCTATGGGGCAGTTCTCCTCTGTCCTATAGGGTCTCTATGAGTCGGAGTGGCTGGTGGGTTCAAACCACTGACTTTTCTGTTAGCAGCCAAGTGCTTAACCACTGCGCCACCAGGGCTCCTTCTGTTAAGATTAACAGCCTATGGGGCTGTTGTACTCTTGGGCCGCCGTACTCTGTCCTATAGGGCGGCTACAAGCTGGAATCTACTTGATGGCAATGGGTTGGGTTGGGTTGGGTTGATGGTAATTCTATGTTTCACTCTTTCAGGAACCGCCACAATGTTTTCCATAGCAGCTGCCCCATTTTACATTCCCACCAGCAATGCAAGAGGGTTGCAATTTCTCCACACCCTCAACAACACTTGTCATTTTCCATTATTATTATTATTTATATAGCCCTCCTACTGGGTGTGAAGTGGTATCCTGCTGTGGTTTCAGTATTTTAAATAAGGTAAAATATTGATGATTAAAGTAAATAAAATTTAAATAAACCACAAAAGGACTGTTAAAGCCTCCGGCCAGTTCTCCTGTGTCTGTAAAATGCTGAAACTTGGTGGGGGGCTCTTCCAGGTCCGCTTCACAGCTCCTCCTGTCTGCAGAAAATTGAGGCGAATGACATGCCTGTTTCTATGGAGACATCTGTGATGCCATACTCTGTTCCCAGAATCCAATAGGAAGTGGGCTTGCAGAGCTTGGAAACTGGGCTCCTTCCTGCCCGTGCCAGTCAGCAGGCTGCAGCTTGAGGCCACACTGACCTTGCACGCTGACCTTGACTCCCTGCGCCAGCCCGAGAGTGGTCCAGAGGAGCGGCCAGGGTCTCATCATCCACGTGGCAGCCTTGATCTTTCCGTCTCACCTTCCTGATGCTACCCAAAAAGGAAGCCAACACATGCGAGAAGCATGGCAAGGCACCCAACGCAATGGTGAAAGGCATGACCGCGCTGAAGAGCACCGCTGGCCGGGAGGCCCCGGAGTGGAAGCGACACAGCAACCAGCCCTCCCTCAGCAAGTCGACTCGGGTCATCAGCCGCTACTACCAGAAGATGGTACGGGGCCGGAGAGGATGGTCTGGCGAGCCTAGCATCCAGGAGAAGACCCTATCTCCTACCTTACAAAAGGCCTCATTGAGTGTCAGCTCATATAGTTTTTGTTTTTGTGTGCTGTTACATCGATTCTGACTCATAGCAACCCCGTGTAACAGAGTAGAACTGCCCCATAGGGTTTCCTAGGTTGTAATCTTTACAGGAGCAGATCACCGGGTCTTTCACCCTTGGAGTCACTTGGTGGGTGCAAACAGCCAACCTTTCAGTTAGCATCTGAGCACTTAACCATTGTGCCACCAGGGCTCCTTTGTCAGCCCATTAAAAAAAACTCATTGCCACCGAGTCGATTCTGACTCATAGTGACCCTATAAGACTGCTCCATAGGATTTTCCAAGGCTATAAATCTTTACGGAAGCAGACTGCCACATCTTTCTCCCATGGAGGAGCTGGTGGGTTCCAGCTGCCGACCTTTTGGTTAGCAGCCAAGTGCTTTAACCACTGCACCACCAGGGCTCCTTTTTGTCAGCCCATAGAGCATCCCAAATAATTCTTGGTGATCAATAGGTAAATGGTAGGCAGTTGCAAGAATGGAATGGTAGAGGTGGTAGAAAACCCTCTTGTTCTCATCCAAGCTTGTTTTTATAGGGGGCCTGGTGCCTCAGTTCCCCAGCTTTATGGGGTTCTCCTGGGGAACTAGCCTCTCTGGGCCACTTCTCCCTTGGCAGACCTCTACTGGCTTTCTCTGGCTGGCCCAGCCTCTCCACCAAAGGTCTGGATCCCAAGCCCGGGGGACAAAGACATACAGTTTTCCCTGAATATTTCCTTAGGAAGTTGTCTGGAAAAGGAGGGAGAAGAGGAAATATCACAGGTTAAATGCACCCTGTGTGCACTGAGGGAGTCTCAGGACTCCAACCCCGGGCCCCTCAGGGTTCCTTGAATGGACGTGTTGTCCTGGACTTAGCAGACAAGGCATTGCTTTCACTAAGCGCCCCAGTGTGCTGGGAGAGGGGACAGACCCACATAACTGGGCCTTTTAAACCCCCTGATGGGAGAGGGGCTCCCAAGCCATTTCTCTGAGTGATCATCTTCTTTACCCCCTGCCAGAGTGAAGTCAAGGATGTCCCCAGCCCTAGCGACACTGGCTTTGTGTCTCAAGTGGAGGAACTGCGAAAGGCGTTTCTCACGCGTCCCGGCTGCCTTCTGTTTAGCACCAGGGCCACATCCATGTCTCAATATGGTAAGAGCCACCAGCGAGGGGGCCGCTGCTGTGTGACAACCGCCTCCTCCCATGAGGGCACACGGCCCCTCAGCCTGCAAGCAATGACCTGAATCCAGCATGCACGGCAGTTGCAGCTTCTTCTGAAGACTCACTAGGTCAGAGAAGCAGCTGAAGCTGAGAGGAGGGGCAGGAGGAGAGGAGGGAGGGGAGAAGAGGAAGGAAGACAGCTTTCTCCCGCTTGCTATTGTTATTATTTGTCTCCCAGCCTTCTTGCTTTTTTCGTTGTCCCACTCAGTAGATTCAGCAGAGTTGGGGCAGGGGAAGGGGGAGATGGCTGAAGGTTCTGGAAACTTCAGGAAAGATGTATATAAGGCCAAACCAGTAGCTGTCACACCAACTCTGACTCTTGGTGACCCCGTGTGTGTCAGAGCAGAACTGTGCTCCATATGGTTTTCGATGGCTGATTTTTCAGGAGATCGCCACAGCTTTCTTCCGAGGCACCTCTGGGTGGACTTGAACCTCCAGCCTTTCAGTTAGCAGCTGATGCGTTCACTGTTTGCACCACCCAGGGACTCTTAGCACCTGTCTCTTCTAGCCCCTTGTTGTTCTGATGTAGAATATGAGGCTCAGAGAAGGGCTAATGAGCCAGAGGCCACATGAGGGAGCCAAGGCTTCACCCCAGGCACCCTTGGCTCCCAGACCCAAGTTGTTCCCTTTCCCCACACAACATATCATCCTGTTGTTATTGTCAGGTACTGCCGAGTTGATTTAGATTCATGACAACCCCATGTGACAGGGTAGAACTGCCCCATAGTGTTTTCTTGGCTGTAATCTTTATGGAAGTAGATTGACAGGTCTTTCTCCCACAGAGCTTCTGGGCTGGTTTGAATCGCAAATCCTTCAGTCAGTAGCCGAGCGCTTAACCATTTTGCATCATGCTTCCTTATACCATCCTTACCTGTAGCCAGCAAGTTGATTCTGGCTCACAGGGACCCTATAGGACAGAGTAGAACTGCCTCATAGGGTTTCTGAGGCTGTAATCTTTACGGAAGCAGAGTGCCACATCCTTCTCCTGTGGAGCTGCTGGTAGGTTTGAAACATTGACCTTTTGGTTAGCAGCCGAGCACTTAACCACTGTGCCCCAGGGCTCCTAGGCCTAATGCTTGCGACTCACAACTGGCTGGGTCCTGTTCAGAGAGGCCAGTGGCTCGGGGAGAAGCCTGGGGCCCCTCACCCACCATCCAGGCTTGAAGTGCTTCCTTTGCTTTCCTGGAGCACCCCTGCTCCAATAGCAGGGGTCTGTTGTGGGCAGGGCTCGAGCAGTGGCCACTGGACCACAGAGGGTCTTGGGTGTGGGCACCGTTGAGTGTAAGCCGGGTCTGCCTTTGAGTGGGCCCAGTCTCGAGGCAGAGAGGCGTTGGCAAGACTTTCAGGAGGAGCCATTATTACAGACGGGAAAGGGGGCTCCACTCTTGCCGGGGAGGATGCCCAGTTTGCGAAGATTAAACTTGCCTGGGTCTGTTTCAGGAGGACACATAGTAGCAGGCAGGAGGGTGTAACTGGGGTTTGATTTTGCCCCGCTACTCCTGTCTCAAGTACCCACTAAGAAAAGCCACCTTTACCCAATAATAAGGAGTCCCTGGGTGGCGCAGACAGTAAGCATTTGCCTACTAGCTGAAAGGTCGGTGGTTCGAACCCACCCAGAGGCACCTTGGAAGAAAGACCTGGCAGTCTGCTTCCGAAAGATCACAGTCTTGAAAACCCTATGGAGCAGTTCTACTCTGTACATATCTGGTCACCATGAGTCAGAATCAACTCAATGGCAACTTACAGCAACAACAACAACCCAATAATAACCCCCCTGCGGAGAGCATGGGGAAATAAGGGCTCGGTGGTTACTGGTTGGCATTTCTAACACTCCGCAGGGTCGACCATGGCAGCTGCTCTGCCTAGAGAGCTAAGTGTCAGCGGGGAGACCTGGAAGATGACCGAGGACACGCTCTCAGGCCGGCAGTGCTCGGACACTAACGTGGACGGTGAGGTGGGACCTGCCCAGCACTGGCATAAGCCACGCCCACAGTCTTCTCTCCTCCTGTCACCAAGTTGATGCAGCAATCCTCCCAGGATGCTGGCGCCTGTCTTTGGCAAAATTGAGGTTGACGGTCTCATCCCTACTGGGCCCTGTGTCCCTTCTGCAAGGGCCCATGGGTGCATCCCTCCTTGAACAGGTAGACCTGTAGAACATTGTCCTACAGACATTGCATTTGCTTTCTTCTTCCAAAAGACAAAATCCACACCAAGGTAGGTTCTTCTTGGCCTCGATCCCAGGGAACCGAGAGCCTTGGTGACCAGCTTTCCTCAGGCTTGGGGACCTGGGGAGCCCACCCCCCCACTCAGGTTAATGATAGGGAAGCTGAGGCCCAAAGAGGGGGCACAGGGAAGCCTCAGGATGGTCCTCTTCTCCTGGCTCCCAGGCTTGGCTCCCTTAGGCTGAGAGTCTGGAAGATGCTCTGATACACTCCTCCATTTACTCAACATCCACCTGAGGCTCACCTGTGGGATCCAGTGGTGTTCACAGCAGTCACTATTGCTGTGCTTGCAAAACAGGTGTCTGATGGGAGGGAGGGACACTCAGCAAATAAAGATGCAAGTATCTGAATTTTATGAGGGTTATTGTCTTAGTTAGGGTTCCCTAGAGAAAAAGAACCATGATACATATATATATATCTATGCATCTATATCTACATATATCGAAAGAGAGAGACAGAGACAGAGAACAGAGGGAGATTTACTTCAAGGAATTGGCTCACATGATTGGGAGGGGTGGGCCCATAGGGCCAAAATATCTATTTATAGTCTGGCAGCAGAAGACACCCTAGGGAAACTCCCTTTTTGTTCTTAAGACCTTCAACTGGTTGATTACCTTACATTAGATTACATTATGGAAGATGATTACATTGCATTACATGATGGAAAGTAATTACATTACATTAGATGGAAGGTGATTACATTACATTAGATTAGATGGAAGGTTATTACATTAGATTACATTATGGAAGGTGATTGCATTGTATTGCATTACATGGAAGGTGCTTACATTGCATTGCACTACATTACAGCACATTCTGGAAAGTAATCTGCTTTACTTGAGGGCAACTGATTTAATAACATGTAACAGCTCCATAACAGCAACCAGACTAGTGTTTGGCCAAACACCTGGGCACCACAGCCTAGCTGTCACAGGGATAGAGGAGACAGATAGGAATCCTGCTGGGCAGAGAAGAATGACTGTGACCATGGCAGAGGCCGGGGGACCTCAGCCCACAAAGTTCCCACCTCCTGGGTGAGCTGGGCGCTGTATCTGCTCTGCTTTCTTGACAGGGCACCTTCTGCCCTTCAGTAAGAGTGCCTGTGAGTTCAATTACTTGCAAAGAAGGAGCAAATCCCAGACGATGAACCTGGTGCCCAGCAGCCCAGTTGCAGCCCAGACCTGCTTGAGAAAGAAGATGCCCTGGTACATCTCGGTCATCCACGAGAAGGTAGGCCCCAGGGGCGGGGGCATCATGGCACAAATGCGGCCCACACTCGCTCACTCTGCATCCTCCCAGTACAGAGGCGACGCCCATCCCAAAGCAGATATTGGGTACCTAACTTCTGGTCAGCTGCATCAAGCAGGTCCCCAGAGGTGGCCTGCAATGCTCTCCAGACCCACAGTGTTGGCTTTTGTGAATCAGATATGTTACAAAAGTCCTGGCCCCCAAACATCCTCACCTGGCTGGGGGAGTGACATCCCCCAGGGCAGCTGGACCTGAACCTTCAACAGTCATTCACCATTTAACCCAGTGATCCCACTTTGGGGAATTTAGTCTTAAAAAAAAAAAAAAAAAAAAAGTTTATATGCAAAGATTTATGTACATCAACACGTCATGGTATTATTTTCATCTATGTTTACGGAAGGAGCCCTGGTGGCTCAGCGGTTAAAAAATCGACTGCTAACTGAAAGGTCAGCAGTTCGAAACCACCAGCTGCTCTGCAGGAGAAAGATGTGGCAGTCTACTTCCACAGAGAATTACAGCCTCAGAAACCCCATGGGGTCACTGTAAGTTGGAATCCACTTGATGGCGGTGGATTTGGTTTGGTTTTGTGTATGTTTACGAAAGAGCCTGGCCTGCAATTTCTCTGCCTTGTCATTTCCCTGTCAGATCTTGGTGTCGAAGTTATTCTGGCCTCACAAAAAAAAGCTGGGAAGTATTTCCCCCTTTTCTGGTCTCTGGATGAGTTCACATAAAGTTGGTGTGATTTCTTCCTTAAAGGTCTGAAGAATTCACCATGGAGGCCAGCTGGGTCTGGAGATTTCTTAGAGGAAGGTTTTTCAATGACAAATTCTGTTCCTTTAAAAGTTACTGAGATTTTCGTTTTCCTCTTCTTTCAGTTTTGGGAAGCTGTGTTTTTCTAGGAATTTGTCCATTTTATGTAAACTTGCAAATTGATGAGCCTAACTGTGTACATGAAGAGCCCCTCATGGTGCGATGGTTAAGTGCTCAGCTGCCAAATGAAAGGTTGGCGGTTCAAACCCACCCAGTGGCTCCACTGGAGAAAAACCTGGCAATCTGCTGTCATGAAGATTACAGCTAAGAAAACCCTGTGGGGCAGTTCTACTCTGTCATATGGGGTCGCTATGAGTTGGATCAACTTAATGGCCCCCAAAACAAACCCTGTACATAATATTCTCTTCTTGTTGTTGTTGTTAGATGATGTTGTTACCGCAAAACGCAGGTCTGAGCCACCTGCCACAAAAGCCAATACTGAGACGGGGTGAGGTGAGCAGCAAGAGTGTTTTATTGTATATCGATATACAGGAGACAGAAAGGAATGAGCGCCTCCAGAATGCCTCCCCCTCTGGAGGCCGATTAGAGGATTTTATCGGGACAGCGTCAGGGTCCGAAGAATCCGTGGAATGTTAGTTCCCCTTTGAGGAGGGCACAATGACCTCGTTCCAGACGTGTTCACCTTCTGTGGGTATTCTTGAAGATCCTTTGTTCAGTTGTCTCGCCTTCAGATTTTATCACTTGTTCTACCTCCCAAAGAGGAACTTAGGTTAATTTTTAAACTTCTATAAAATCATGGGAAAACAGGAGGGAAGAGAGAAGGAAAATAAATCAGAGTCATAGGAGCATGCAGAAGTGAACTATGCAAGCTATGCACTAACAATACCACAATACCCAGGACGCTAGACCTACACAGCTATCAATAAATGTGAAATTCCCACACAGCCCCCTTCAACGTCAAGTAGGTTCCAACTCATAGCAGCCCTATATACAACAGACGGAAGCACTGCCCAGTCCTGCGCCATCCCCACAATCATTGCTATGTTTGAGCCCATTGTTGCAGCCATTGTGTCAATCCATCTCGTTCAGGGTCTTCTTCTTTTTCGCTGACCCTCCACTTTACCAAGCATAATGTCCTTCTCCAGGGACTGATCCCTCCTGATACCATGTCCAAAGTACATGAGATGAAGTCTCGCCATCCGCACTTCCAAGAGCACTCTGGCTATATTTCTTCCAAGACAGACTTGTTCGTTCTCTGGCAGTCCATGGTAGAGTCAACCATAATTCAACCATAATTCAAAGACATCAGTTCTTCTTTGATCTTCCTTATTCGTCATACAGTTTGTGCACGCATATGAGGCGATTGAAAATATCATGGCTTGGGTCAGGTGCACCTTAGTCCTCAAGCTGACATCTTTGTTTTTTAACCCCTGAAAGTGGTCTTTTGCAGCAGATTTGCCCAATAAAATACGTCTTTTGATTTCCTGACTGCTGCTTCCATGGGCGTTGACTGTGGATCCAAGTAAAATGAAATCCTTGACAATGTCAGTCTTTTCTCCATTTATCATGATGTTGCTTAGTGGCCCAGTCTGAGGATTTTTTTTTTTTTTCTTTATGTTGAGGTGTAACCCATACTGAAAGTTGTGGTCTTTGATCTTCATCGGTAAGTGCTTCAAGTCCTCTTCACTTTCAGCAAGCAAAGTTGTGTCATCTGCATATCTGAAGGTTGTTAATGAGTCTTCCGCCAATCCTGATGCCACATTCTTCTTCATATAATCCAGTTTCTCAGATTATTTGCTTAGCATACAGGTTGAATAAGTACGCTGAAAGGATACAACCCTGATGCACACCTTTCTTGATTTTAAACCACGCAGTAGCCCCTTGTTCTGTTTGAATGACTGCCTCTTATGATCCTTTCAATATCTGTGGATCCCATGGGGAAAACTTCTTTTTCGTTCCTGATATTGGTAACCTGAGCATTCTCTCTTTTTTCCTTTTTCAGTCTTGCTAGAAGTTTATCAATTTTAAAAGTCTTTTCATAGAACCAACTTTTGGTTTTGTCAATTTCCTCTAGTGTATATTTGTTTTCTGTATTATCCTTTTTTTTTTAAGCGAACTTTTAATTAAAATTATGGAAATTAGTAACACAAAAGTTTGGATAGTTGAGGGTCATGGAGGAGGATACCATTGGGTGGATGGTGTGAGCTCATGAGTATTTATTTTATTTTATTCCTTACACACTGTCTCTACATTTTATGATAGATTCACCATTTAAAACATGTTTATACCCTTTGACCAAGCAATTCCACATCTGGGAAAAAGCCTGAGGATATAATTAAATAAATCCATGTAGATAGATGCCAAAGGATGTTCATTGAAGGATTGTTATTAACCTGAACAGCAGATAGGGGATGTCGTGGATTGAATTGTGTCCCCAAAATTATGTATCAACTTGGTTAGGCCATGATTCCCAGTATTGTGTGGTTGTCCTCCATTTTGTGATTGATGTAATTTTCCTACATGTTGTAAATCCTAATCTCTGCCTGTGGTTAATGAGGCAAGATTAGACTATGTTAAAGAGGATTACGGCGGGATGTAACACCGTTACTCAGGTCACATCCCTGAGCCAATGTAAAGGGAGTTTTCCCGGGGTGTGGTCTGCATCACCTTTTATCTTATAAGAGATAAAAGGAAACGGAAGTGAGCAGAGAGTTGGGGACTTCATACCGCTAAGAAAGCAGAGTGTGTCTTTTGGTCCTGGGGTTCCTGCACAGAGAAGCTCCTAGACCCAGGGAAGATCGATGACGATGAGGACCTTCCTTTAGAGCCGACAGAGAGAGAAAGCCTTCCCCTGGAGCTGATGCCCTGAATTCGGACTTCTAGCCTACTAGACTGTGAGAGAATAAACTTCTGTTCGCTGAAGTCATCCAGTTGTGGTATTTCTGTTATAGCAACGCTAGATGACTAAGACAAGGAATTTCCCAGCTCATGTACTTGAACTGTCCAGGGGAAGAGCCGAAGGTATGGCTGTCTCCAGGAGCTCAGACGGCCTCAGTAGGGCTCTCTTTCTCTCACCTCTGCTTTCCTCTGAGCTGGCTTCTGTCATAGGTAAGCTCTTCTCATTTGGTTGCAAGAGAGACACCAACTGTAACAAAGTCTGTGTCGTGAAAACTTAGCAGCCCCAAGGGAAATGAGATGAGCTGCTTTCCCCAGTAATCATTAGACTTGTTTGGAACATGTACCCATCTCTAAAATCACCACGGCCAGGGGAATGAAATGTGATTGTTGTTGTTGTGCGATGTGATCAAGTTGATTCCGACTTATTACGACCCCATGTGACCAAGTAGTACTGCCCCATAGGGTTTTCTTGGCTGTAATCTTTACAGGAGCCGATTGCCCCACCTTTCTCCTATGGTGCTGCTGAGTGTGTTAAAACTGCCAAACTTTTGGTTAGCAGCCAAGCACTTAACCATTGTGCCACTAGGGCTCCTTAAAATGTGAACAGCTGCATTTTTTTCCCCTTTAACTTAGTATTTTGACAATTCAGATGTAAAGAAAAGTTGTTAGAATAACACAAACAATTCCCATATACTCTTCAATCAGATTCCCCAAACGTTAAAATGTTGCCATATTTGCTTTATCCTTCTTTCATTTCCCTCCCCTTCCTCTTCACCCTCTCTCTCCCTCCCTACATCATTAATTCTAGCACTTTGCCTTATTATTTCCTTCCTTCCTACTTTCTTTAGATTTAATTTGCAATCCTTTTTCTGAATTCTTGAGATGGATACTTAGAGCACTGATTTCAACTTTTGTTTTCTGATCTATGAATTTTAAAGCTATAAATTTGTGTTTAATCACAGTGTTAGCTGCACCCCAATTTTTTTTAATATATAAGTGTTTATTATTATTCATTTCAAAATATTTTCTAACTTCCTTTGTGATTTCTTCTTTGACCCATGGGTTATGTAGAGAAGCACATCACTTAATTTCTAAACTTGTGGGAATTTTCTAGTTATGTTCCCATCCAGAATTCTGTCTGGGTTCATTTTCCACCTGCATGAAGAATCCTCTTTCATGTTTCTCAAAGTTCAGATCTACTGGTGACAAATTCTTTCAGTTTCTGTTTATCTGAAAGCATCTTTATTTTTGTCTTCACTTTTAAAGAACTGGGGGAATTGAAGGTTGAGGGACAGAGGGCCCAGCTCCCTGGCAAGCCCCTGGGGGAGGGGGTGGCTCTTGGAGAGCATTGCTGTTTTTGTATGGAGCCACAGAGAGGACTGATGTCCTTCAGGTACAGTGGAGGAGGCTGGCTGGGAACCAGGCCTGAAAAGAAGGTTGCCCACACATCTCCTGGAGCTGATTTAGGACCTGCTCTTAGGAGCCGTAGTGACAAAACTGTTAAGCACTAAGCTGCTAACCACAAGGTCAGCAGTTCAAACCCACCCAGTGGCTCCATGGGAGAAAGACCTGGTGATCTACTCTCGTAAAGATTACAGCTTAGAAAACCCTATGGAGCAGTTCTACTCTGTTACATGGGATCACTATGAGTCAGAATCGACTCAACAGCACCTAACAACAAAAACTTAGACACAGATGCAGTGGGGACAAGGCCACAGGGCATGGCTGCAGTGAATGGCTAGAAGTGCGCATCTTGGTCCGGGGACTTTGATGTCCCAGGTCAGCAGGTCTGCTCTTCCTGGCCTGGAGCCGCTATCCAGGGGTAGCCTGGAGGAGGTAGGAAGGAGGGAAGAGAGTCCGCGAGGCTGTGCGGGCCCACGCAGGCTGCCCTCTTCTTCTGCAGGACAACTGCCTGTTCATGCTGGGTAAGGAGGTCCAGCGCCTGTCAGAGCTGGAGGTGCAGAGCCGGAAGAAAGATGAGGAGATCCTCGTGCTGCGGGAGGAGAGGGAGGCCCTGAAGAAGCAGCTGAAATGCCTGCTCAAAGACAAAGGCTGGGAGACATCCGTGTCACCAGGCCTGCAGGTGAGACAGCACCTGGCAGGCAGTGAGGGCAGTGCTGCAAAGCACCCATACCATTGGTGGCCCCGCAGGCCCCCATGCAAGTCCCCAGGCACCCTGAATGCCACCCAGTCCTCGCTAGAGCTAGGCATGGCTCCCAGGATTTGGACAAGAGGCCAGAATCCAGAGGCAAGTTAGAGAAAAAGAGCTTTGAGCTGACACCTAGACACTTGAGGGTTGTTCCAGCTCTGCTTCCTATTTGCTTTCGAGCTGCTTTCTGAAACGGCCTGAGTTCAGTTTCCTTATCTGTAAAATGAGGAGTTGAGCTCACCTCTGGGTTTGCCTGCAGCTCTGGAATCCTGGGTGGAGAGGGTCACCCTGCAGGTGGATGGCCCAGGCTTGCCGTGGCTTCATTGCAGGCTGTATCTTAGGCAGTGGGGCAGCCGAACGGTTAACACAGCAGACTTGGATTCCTGTCCTGGGTGCCGTCCCTTCCCTCCACTGTCTGGCTCTGGGATGCTCCTGACCCACCTCAGTGTCGTCTCGTCTGAAATGAGGAGGGTGGTGCTGCCTGCCCAGGGCTCGGGGGTTCTGGGGAGCAGTCCTGTGTAGGGGCAGTGTGGGCCCAGGGTGAGCAGATGCTGGGCCTAAGGCCTGATTTCTTCATGCTGAGGATACAGCCCAAGATGATATTGGGGGCGGACATGAAGGGGTGGGAGGTTTTAGCAGAGTCCCCGGGACGAGAGAGCTGCCCAGACATTGATGGCGGTGGCAGGGAGGGGGCAGTGGGCAGGGGCCTGGGGAGGCTGAGAGGGCCACCTGGCATTCCCCATTCCCTGGCCTCCAAGGGCTGTTAGATAGGTGCGATAGGCACAGTGCCTGGTGACACACACAGGCGGCACGTCTGGGACCTGCCCCTTCAGCCCTCCCCGTGAGTGTGCCAGTTACTGCAGAGCCGCAGCCTGCCCCACCCTCCCCCTCACCCAGCCGCTCACTGACCCCTTGGCAGGAGGACATCCAGTCCCCCTGCCTCTACGCAGAGCGGCTGCTGCCCCCCTGCCAGGAGGACAGGTCGCGGCAGCACATAGCCCTGGAGGAGCTGCAGGAGCAGTTTGAAGCCCTGAGGGTCCACATGGGCTCCCTGCAGGAGCTGCTGCCCGAGGCGCTGGCCAAGCCGGGGCAGGTGAGCATCCTGCAGGGCGTCTGCAGGGACGATGAGGAGGAGCTGCTGCTGCTGCGCTGGAAGCAGGTGTGCAGGTGCCGGGTAGGCGGGCGCACAGGTCTGTCCAGGGCAGGAGCCAGCCTGCTCTCCTGCAGGGCTTCCTGCACGATGCTGGCTCTGGCCAGGCTGTCCTCACCTGCAGCCCTGACCTCAGGTGGCCCCTTGTGTAGGCCCCAGTACCCTCGAAGGGAACAGCTAAGGTGCACCCACCTGAGGGTGCAGGCCACTTGCAGCTTCTTGCCAGTGGAGGAGGAGGCTATTAGTCACAGGTGTGCCTGGCTGGCGTGGGGCACAGTGCCCAGTGGGTGCCCCCCTTCTCTCTGGATCCCTGCAGCAGCCTGGAGTGAAGCCCCTTCCCAAGTCCCTCACATGAATGCACCCCCACTGTCCGAGCCACCTCCATGGGGAAGCCCCCAGCCCTGCCCAGCACGTTCTCCCTCTCCCAGATGCAGGAGGACTACATGGTGGCGAAGAAGGGCAAGGACCTGGAAGGAGGAGGAGGAGGAGGAGGCGAGGAGGAAGAGGACTTGGTGGGGGCCGCTGAGCGGGCAGAGGGGATGGGTGCAAACGGGGATGCAGGCAAGAAGGGGGCTGTGCAGGAGGAAGCATGTGAGGAAGAGGAGGGGGGTGAGGAAGAGGAAAAGGAGGGGATAGTGGAAGAGGAGCCAGATGAGGAGGGAGAAGAGGAGGTCCAGAGAAGGAGGATGTACTCGCTGGACGAGGCGTTTGAGGATGAGCTGATGGCCAGACTGGAGGAGTACGAGCAGGTGGTCCAGGAGATCCAGTACGACCTGGAGATCACCAGGAGCAGATACTCGCTGGCAACAGGTGGGACCCACCACCACTGCCGGGTTGAGCTGGGGAAGGGGCTGGTGCAGACATGGGCCGGAGCGCCCAGATGCTACTGGCTTTCCTCTGAGGGTGAAAGGAGTAAGATCTGCCCTGTCCTGTTAGCTCCCAGGAATTCGAGGGAGGGGGCTCGGCCTGGACGCCGTGAGGGCACAGAACACCTCCAGGCTGACACAGTGACGCCGGCCCCTTGCTTCTCATTCTTAGTCATCCCATCTTGCTCTCCCCCATTCCCTCTGCTGTCCCCCGTCCTTTGCTCATTCAGGAGCTATTACATCTTTGCAAAGACAAGTGGATTTCCAAGAGTCCCAGCTGCAGAAGATCAACACGGAGAATGAGATGCTGCAGAAGGAGCTCCGAGAGCGGAAGAATCAGCTACAGGCCATGTCCAACAAGGTGACCGAACTTAGAAACGCCCACTGAGTGGTAGGCCATGTCCAACAAGTTGGCCAACCCAAGTGACTCCCACTGAGGGCTTGGCATGCATGCATTCACTCCCGCTCCCAGCAGGCTCGGGGTGAGCACCCTTCATTCCATCCTACAGATTGAGACAGTGAACCTGGGGAGCTCAACCTGGCCAGGATCACGTGGCTGATTGGAGGGGCAGAGCTGGGATTCAGTCTAGCTCTCTGGGGAGCCAAAGCCCATGGCCCACCCAAGCCTTGCACTGCCCTATAGCTCAGAGCGGTTTCCCTGTCTCCTGGGCCAGTTTGCTCTCAGCCGCTTCCCAAGCATCACCTGGCCCCTGAGTCCTGGGGGTGATAGCCTATTCACGCTTAGAGAGGCTGCTACTCTGCTGAGCCTACCCCTCATTGCTGCTGCTGTTGTTAAATTTTCATTTTTATCCAAGTTATTCATGTGCACAGCTCAAAGAATCAGAATTCCACGAGGCTTGTTATGAAAAACAGGAGTCTCCCACTCTTCACACCCATTTGCCCTTCTCTCAAGGCAACTGCTTTCAACTCTTCTAGCTGATTCTTTAGGAATCACGTTCCATATCTCTACCACCAGTTGCCATGGAGACAACTCTGACTCATGGCGACCGCATGTATTATAGAGTAGAACTGTGATCCATAAGGTTTTCAGTGGCTGATCTTTCTGAAATAGATCACCAGAGCTTTCTTCTGAGGTGCCTCTGGTGGATTCCAACAGCTACTCTGAGTTAACAGCCTATCGCATTAACCGTTTGTACCACCCAGGGACTCCTCTAAATAGAAGGCTTATATCGCCCATTCTTGATTTTTCTTGGTGTTAAGCATTACCTAATGCTTTCCTCTTTCCTTCTCTGCTTCCCTAACACAGGGACATCCTTTCCATCCGTCCCCCTCCCAGTGTTATTTATCATAATGTTGGTGAGATTGATACTGTGTTCATATTATTAGGACAGCTATGGGAGCATGGAGTCCCTAGGTGCAAACGGTTAAGCACTGGCTACTAACTGACAGGCTGGCTGTTCAAACCCACCCAAGAGGCACGTGAAGAAAGATGTGGTGATCTGCCTCTGAAAGGTCACAGCCATGAAAACCCTATGGAGTGCAATTCTACTCGACAACACCTGGGGTTGTGATGAGTTGGAATCGACTTGACAGCAAATGGTTTTTGTTTTTTTTATTAAAAGCATACACATAACTGAAACAAAAATTTTGTGAAATGATATTAAGATTCATAAACAATAATTTGGAAACTGCTTCATCTATCTTCTTTTTCTTGATTTACTTCTTCATTTTTGGTGGAGCACATCCTCCAGTAGTTTTTTTGAGAAAGGATGAATGGAGGGTAAATTTGGGGGGAAACTATGTTTTTTTAAAGTGTTAAAAAGCAAAGATGTCACCTTGAGGACTAAGGTGCGCCTGACCCAAGCCATGGTGGTTTCAGTCACCTCATATGCATGCGAAAGCTGGACAATTAATAAGGAAGACCGAAGAAGAATTGATGCCTTTGAATTGTGGTGTTGGTAAAGAATATTGAATATACCACGGACTGCCAAAAGAATGAACAGATCTGTCTTGGAAGAAGTACAACCAGAATGCTCCTTAGAAGCAAGGATGGCGAGACTACGTCTTACATACTTTGGACATGTTGTCAGGAAGGATCAGTCCCTGGAGAAGGACATCATGCTTGGTGTCTTAGTCATCTAGTGCTGCTATAACAGAAATACCACAAGCGGATGGCTTTAACAAAGAGAAATTTATTCTCTCACAGTCTAGGAGGATAGAAGTCCAAATTCAGGGCGTCAGCTCCAGGGGAAGGCTTTCTCTCTGTCGGCTCTGGAGGAAGGTCCTTGTCTCATCAATCTTCCCCTGGACTAGGAGCTTCTCTCCACAGGAACCTCGGGTCCAAAGGACGCTCTCTTCTCCTGGCACTGCTTTCTTGGTGGCATGAGGTCCCCAACTCTCTGCTTGCTTCCCTTTCCTTTTATCTCTTGTAAAACAAAAGGAAACTCCCTTTACATTGGATCAGGGATGTGACCTGGGTAAGGGTGGTGTTACAATCCCACCCTAATCCTCTTTAACATAAAATTACAATCACAACATAGAGGACAACCACACAATACTGGGAAATTGTGGCCCAGCCAAATCGATACACATATTTTTGGGGGGACATAATTCAATCCATGACACTTGGTAAAGTAGAGGGTCAGCGAAAAAGAGGAAGATCCTCAGTGAGATGGATTGACACGGTGGCTGTAACAATGGGCTCAATCATAACAACAATTGTGAGGATGGCACAGGACTGGGCAGTATTTCATTCTGTTGTTCATGGGGTTGCTATGAGTCAGAACCGACTCGATGGCACGTAACAACAACGTGCCTGAAAATGTCCTTTACTCTATGTGTTTATAAATTTTGGTTGGATACAGAATTCGAGTTCGGAAGACATTTTCCTTTAGAATTGGAAACGCATTGCTTCATTGTTTTTTGGCGTTGCTGGTAGGAAGTCCAAAGTCATACTGATTCTTTTGTGCATGACATGGTTCTTAGTTGTTTGTTTCTCTCTGGGAAGTTGTAAGATCGTATCTTTGTCCCAAGTGTTCTGAAACTTCATAAGGTTGTGCCTTCCTGAGGGTCTGTTTTCATCCATTGTGCTGGGCACTCAGTGGCCCTTTCAATCTGTGAATCTGTCTTTTAGTGCTGCAAATTTTCCTTTGTTATACAGTGAAACCTGCGAGAGACTGACTGTCTTGTGTTTCAGGGTCTCACCAGTTTTCCGCCTTTGACAGGGTGCAGACTCACTGCTTTTCTATCGCTCTCTGTTAACCAAAAAAAACCAAACCCACTGCCAGAGAGTTGATTCCGACTCATAGCAACCCTATGGGACAGAGTGGAACTGCTCTGATTTCCAAGGCTATCAATCTTTATGGAAGCAGACTGCCACATCTTTCTCCCGTGAAGCTGCTGGTGGGTTTGAACCACTGACCTTTCGGTTAGCAGCTGAACACTTTAACCACTGCACAGCCAGGGCTCCCTTCCTCTCTATTAGTGGAAAATATTTGCGTTTTCCTTCTCTGATAGCTTTCCGCCTTACACAGGTTCTGGCTTTCACAGGTTTTACTGTATTTTTAATTCCTTCATTTGGTTTTCTCTAAACTCTCCTCTGCGCTCAATTATTTGGCCATTGTGTTGCTGGGGTCTTCTTCCCAACCTGGGCAGCCCCTAGGAGCTTCTTGCCTTCTACTGACCAAGAATGATCCAACAGGCAAGGTAGGCACCGTGCTTCCCTTGCTTACCAGATCATCTGTAGTGAACAATTTCACATTTTCTCACCACATCAAAGATTCTGCTTCTAGGTATGGCTGGCATCTATCTCTCTCCCAACCCCACAGCACCTTCCTACAGAATCAAGGCCTCTTTTCAAATTTATAATCCCTGACAGGGATGGGACGGATGACCCTGAGTAAGGTAAACACAGGCTTACTTGTACTTACTTACTGATCTTTGACATGGTGAAACCCATGTGAAATTGTTCACTACAGATTAGGAAATAAGCACAAGTAAACCCTGCTTATCTTGCTTATTGGGTAATCCGCCCCTGGGAGACTCTAATGACAATATCTCTAGGTTTTTCCTCCTGGTTTGGTCAGATTCCCTGAAATCCAGAATATATTGTCTGGAAGGTAAAGGCCCAGCTACTGGAAAGAAGCTGGGAGTCCACCTTCTGCCCCAGTATGCACACACCTGGCCCTCTGCTGTACCTCGAACCCCTAGCCTTCTGACAGGGAGGGAAGGGCCAGGTGCCCAGAATCTTGAAGTTAGGGGCCCGTCTGGGGCTCTTACTGTTTCTGAAATAAGAGTCTCTAATCTCCATCATCTTAGCTTCCACATCCAGGAAAATCCAGTGCACTGATTTCTGAGACTTTATTGTTGTTAGTTGCCATTGAGTTGGTTCCAACCCAAGGCAACCCGATGTACAACAGAATGAAATGTTGCCCCATCTGTGCCATCTTACAGTCATTGGTATGCTTGAGTCCATTGTTGCAGCCACTCTCTCTTTTGAGTGCCTTCCAACCTACAGGATTCATCTTCCAGCACTATATCAGGCAGTATTCTGTTGTGATCCATAGGATTTTTATTGGCTCATTTTCAGAAATAAATTGCCAGGCCTTTCTTCCTAGTCTGTCTTAGTCTGGAAGCTCAGCCAAAACCTGTCCACCATGGGTGGGTGACCCTGCTGGTATTTGAAATACTGGTGGCATAGCTTCCAGCATCTTGGCAATACATAAGCCACCACAGTAGGACAAACTGACAGATAGGAGATGGCTGAGACATTCAGGGACCCTGAAGTGTGACCTAGGCTGGCTTTCAGCTTTCCGTAATGCCAGCTCAGGACCTCTCTTTCTTGGATCTGCTATGTCAGATACCACTTATCCATCTGCTTTCCAACTCCCAAAATGTTTTTAATTCCTGGTTTTCACCTCTTCTCCCCATCCTCTACAGAAATCCCACTGTGGGAGAAAGATGTGGCACTCTGCTTCCATAAAGATTACAGCCTTGGAAACCCTATGGGGCAGTTCTACTCTGTCCGATAGGGTCACTATGGGTCAGAATCGACTTGACAGCAGTGGGTTTGCTTTGTTTTGCTTTGATTTGAGGGAGGGAAGGCAGTGGTGGTACAGTGGTAGAATTCTCACCTTCCACAGGGGGACCCAGGCTGGGTTCCATTCCTGGCCAATGCACCTCATGCACAGGCACCAGCCACCCTTCTGTCAGCGGAGCCTCGTGTATTCTCTGATGCTGAGCAGGCTTCAGCAGAGTTTCCAGACTAAGACAGACTAGGAAGAAAGGCCTGGTGATCTTCTGAAACCAGCCAATGAAAACCTGTGGATCACAGTGGTCCAATCTCGTTGTGCATAGGGTCACCATGATTTGGGGGCCAACTCGAGGGCAGCTAACAATAACAAAGGGAGGGAGAAAAGTTAGCTGCGAGTGTTCAATCTGTTCACTCTGCCTGGGAGTCCCCTGAGCCAACCCCTCTGCCTGCCTTCCAGTTCTCAAACCTCCGAGAAGGCAGGAAGCATGAAGAAATGATGGGGCTCATCGAGAAAGACAACCTTCTCCTCCGACAGGTGAGCAACGGGGGTTGTTAAATGGTCAGCCAGGTCACTGTTCTGACTGTACCCCCTGGTATTCGGCAATGGGGCAAGACGAAGCTGGGAAAACAAGCTGAGCCATTTTGTAGGCAGTAGCCCTTATTTCAGGCAGTTGTCCCCTCAACAAGTCTCAGGACAGCCTACTCACACAGTGGATCCTCGCAGTCATTGGCTCAGGATTTGACTTGGAGCCCAGGGGGGGTGGAAGGGATGGGGATGGGGAACACATGCGATGTCCCTACTCCTCTGTCCTCCCTGGCTCTCCCCTAGCAAGTGTTGGAGCTGGAGAGCGAGCTCATGAAGCGTGACCACATCATCTCGGAGTACGACACCAAGGTGCACCAGCTGCAGGCCCAGGTGAACCTGCACCAGAACCACCTACAGAGGCGGAAGGACCTGCAGGAGGAGTTACAGAGCAAAAACGAGCTGATCCAGCAGGCTGAGCAGCAAGCTCGCGTGGCCCTGGAGAGCGCCCAGTCCAGGGTATGCCCAGCTCCCTCCTCCTGAGGGTCTCGGCCCAGCAGCTGGCGGCGCAGACACCGGGCCCTTGCCCACTGCTGACCGAGGTAGAGCGTGCACGCTGAGAGCGCAGGGCTCTGGCTATCCCCCTTGTCCCCAGCGCCCAGCTCTGAGTTGACGCTCGAGAAATGGTGGTGGGGCGGGAGCAAGGGCATGGAGGGGGACGGGAACTTAGTGGTAGTGGCAGGGGGAGCTCCATAGGCAGGGGCCACCCTGTTTATGGGGGACATGGGACTTGGGCTGGGCTGTGAAGAGGCAAGAGGATTCGGACAGCTGGCCAGGAAGGAGAAAGGTGCCAAGGTGGGGAGGATGTAATAATAATGCCTATTTGTAATTTATGGAGTCCCTCGTTGGTGCAGACAATTAACGTGCCCAGCTGCTAACTGAAAAGTTGGAGGTTCAAGTCCACCCAGAGGCACCTCAGAAGAAAGGCCTGGTGATCTACTTCCAAAAAATCAGCCATTGAAAACTCTTTGAAGTGCAGTTCTACTCTGACACACATGGAGTCACTGTGAGCTGGAATCTGGCATTTGTAATTTATAGAGCACATACTATGGGCCAAGCCCTTCATTGATATTAAACTCATTTAACCCTTTCAACAGAGTTTGAAGTAGGTGCTTTTATTATCCTCACTTTACAGATAGGGCAACTGACGTAAAGGATGATCAATAACTCACTTAAGACCCCAGGCCTACTAAGAGGAGGTGCTGGGATTTGAACCTAAACAGCCTTAACTGCAGGGCCCACTCTTAGCAGCCATGCTACATGTGAGCAAAGGCATGAGGGGGGTGGGGTGGATGCATCCTGCTTATTTGCGGGACCAGGTGGCAGAAAGGGACACCAACAGAGAGCCGACCTTGACCGAGAGTCCAAAATTAAGCAAACGTAAAGATTGCACTCAGGTAGACTTAAAATTTTTTTTTTTATTGTGGTAAAATATACATAACCTAAAATTTACCATTTTAACCATTTGTAAGTGCACAACTCTTCGGCATTAATTATGTGCACCATGTCGTGCAACTATCACCACTGTCTATTTCCAAAATTTTTCAGGACCCCACACTGAAACTCAGTGCCCCTTCAGCACCAACTCCCCCTTTCCCTCCTCCCCTGGTAACCTCTACTCTCCTTTCTGTCTCTGTGCGTTTGCCTGTTCTGGATATGTCATGTAAGTGGGATCAGACAGTATTTGTCCTTTTGTATCCGCCCTATTTCACTCAGCATAATGTTTTCAAGGTTCATCCATGTGGTAGCATGTATCAGATCTTCATTTCCATCGTAGAGATTGACCACATTTTGTTTATCCATCCATTGATGGGCATTTGGGTTGTTTCTACCTTTTGGCTATTGTGAATACTGCTGCAATGAACACGGGTGTACACTATCTGTTTGAGAGGCTGCTTTGAAGTTTTTTGGGTACATATCTAGGAGTGGAATTGCTGGTCATATGGTAATTCTATGTTCAACTTTTTGAGGTACCACCAACTATTTTCCACAGCAGCTGCACCATTTTACGTTCCCACCAGCAATGCATAAGAGACCATGTAAGTTTTAGAAATAACTTTTCCTCTCCTGCCCAACCCACCCACCCACTAAGAATGCCAACCGTAACCAAGCTTTACTGTCTTTCCTGTTTGGGTGGCCTCCTTCCAGTGACTCTGACAGCATCATGGAGGACCACACACCTACTAACTTTTAGAAAACTGTGTTCCCAACCTGTGCTAGCATTCCCAGCTGAAGCATTATACCACAGTGGTGTACACTATAGTTTCATTTTGTGTGCCTACTCACCTTGACACCTTTGAATTATGGTGTTGGTGAAGAATACTGAATATACCATGGACTACCAGAAGAACCAACAAATCTGTCTTGGAAGAAGTACAACCAGAGTGCTCCTTAGAAGCAAAGATGGCAAGACTTCATCTCACGTACTTTGGACATGAGGGAGCAGTCCCTGGAGAAGGACATCATGCCTGTAAAAGTGGAGGGTCAGTGAAAAAGAGGAAGACCCTCAACGAGATGGATTGACACAGTGGCTACAACAATGGGCTCATGCATATCAACGATTGTGAGCATGGTGCAGGACAGGGCGGTGTTTTGTTCTGTTGTACACAGGGTTGCTATGAGTGGGAACCGACTCGACAGCACCTAACAACAATAGCTCACTTTGACTCGGGAAAGCCTGGGACTCTGTTGAGAAAGGCTCTAGGGCTAAGTCTGAGGTTTGCAGACTTATGAGTCATGAGTGAGGAATGAGGCCCAGGTGCAGGGTATTTCGGCTGGACACTCCAGGTGACCATCCCCCCCTTAGCCAGCTATAGGCATCTCTGGCACAGGGACCAAGACTTTTGTTCCCTCCGTAGCTCCAGCACTTAGCATAGGGCCTGGCCCAGAGTGGGCACTCAGTAAATGTTGAAATGAAGGTGAGGAATCCCCTATCTCACTGGAGGCTCAGGGGCTTGTAACGTTTCTGCTGCCACTTAAACCCTGTCCAAGAGGCCAAATGGACATGCTTGCCGCTCTCTTAGGCAGAGCTGAGTCTCCAGCTGGGCGCTGCCCAGGTGATTTCTATATCGCCTGGGCTCCTGGGCACTGAGGGCTGAGGAGCTGGTGCTGAGCTTGTCGCCAGATCTCGGGGGCTCTGTGTGAGGGCTTCTGGTGTACAGATTAGAAGAGTCTACTCTGAAATTCGGGGGCAATGGTGGTTTAGTGGTAGAATTCTTGTCTTCCATTCACGGGACCCAGGTTTGATTCCACCCATCAGTGGAGGCTTGCGTGTTGCTGTCTTGTGATGCAGAACAGGTTTCAGCGGAGCTTCTAGACTAAAATAGACCAGGAAGAACAGCCTGGTAATCTACTTCCAAAAATCAACCAGTGAAAGCCCTATGGATCACAACAATCCGATCCGCAACTGATCATGGGGATGGCGCAGGACTGTGTAGCATTTTGTTCCACTGTGCATGGAGTTGCTATGATTGGGGGCTGACTCCGTGGCAATTAACAACAACTCTAAAGTTTCTGGGGGCACAATTTGCTCACCTCTGGGGAGGCAGGTGGGGCCATCCACATGCACCAGGATGTTTATAGCAGCGAAAGACCAGGAACCACTTAGGGTCTGTCCATAGGAGCCTGGTTAAATGGTCGTGTATGTCCACCCCACAGAGAACCTCATAGTCAATATGAAAAGGAGGGCGCCACGTGTACCGACAGGGAGGGACCACCGAGCTGAATACTAAATGCCAGAAGTGAAAGGCCGCCATTGGGTGCAGTGCGTTCCCATGCCCTTGCAAGAAGAGTATCTCGAGGTGGCTGGAAGAGACTGCTCCCTGAGGCTCCTCTGGGGAGGCGGTGCAGGAGAGGTGGCCTGGGGGTCTGCGCATATCTTTTGTACTCTTCATTTTTGTTTGTGTTTTTGAACAGTGTGCAGTTTTACTTTTTCAATTAAAAAAACAAAACAAAGCAAAAAGGTGGTGTAGCAGACAGCCTTTGGGGTTTGGTGTTAGGCCACCCTGGTCTGGATTTTGATCTGGCATCTAGAGATCTTAGGCCGGCCACACTGGCCTCTTTGAGCATCAGTTTCTACTTTCTAAAGCCTTGAAAAACCAGATGTGGTGGAGTCAGCTACAACTCCTGGTAACCCCGTGTGTGTCAGAGCAGAGCTGTGCTCCACTGGGTTTTTAATAGTTGATTTTTCTGACCTCTGGGTGGACTTGAACCTTCAACCTTTCAGTTAGCAGCCAAGCACATTAACCGTTTGCACTACCCAGGGACTTCTAAACCCACTAATGGTGAGGGTGATACCTACCTTTTAGGCTTGTAAAAATTAGATAAGGTTGTGGGTGCCTTTCTCTGGCAAAGGCATGTGATCATTATTTTCCTTTGCTCATAGCTTGAAAGACTAAGAAATAAGATCATCCAGGCCACCTTTAGCATCACAGGGGTCAAGTCCTTGGTCACCGAGATCTCTGACAATGACATCCTGGAGGCTCTGCAGGTATACCCCAGCCCTTGGCTGTGTCCTCATCCTGGGCCATGCCTCCAGGATCTGCACCCAGGGGTGTGGAGGGGAGAGGGCTGGGTTGAACTCTGGGGACCCCATTCTCGTCCTCTGCTCATCCTCCTTTTCTTACTGAGTATGAGGTTCTCTGTGAGTTGGACATACATACCCCAGGACCGTCTCTCTGCTCTGGCAGAGGGGACCTGACTGTCCAGCTCTAACTACCAACAAGGATGGCTGCTTGGGGGCACAAGCACCAACCTGCCCCCTAGGCAGGCTGCGTTTCTTCCCTAGAGGGTCATCTCAGAGAGAACTGACTACTATAACCAGTTGAAGCAGAAAGGTGTGAAAGTGCCCCCCATGAACCAATCGGATGTCATACTCTCCTCGCCCAGCAAATCCAAGAAGGTGACTCCCAAGTAGGTCCTGCCTAGCAAGCCCAGCGTGGTCAGCCCAGCAGAGGCCAGGACGCAGCTCCGGAGATCACTCTTGTGTGTCCCGCTCCAGCCTGGCCTCCACCCTCTGGTTCAGAATTAAACTCTATTGTTGGCCGTGGTCTCCACCTTTTTCTCTCCCCAGTGCCTACACCCAGGCCTATGGGCCTCTGCAACTTTGAAGCCATCCCCCCGACCCCGCACCATTCCAGAGCACGCTCAGTGGGAGTCAGCACCTCCAGCCCATGCCATTGGGTCCTCCCTGGGGGACCTCACACTGGGCAGGGAGGGACCCCTCCAGCTGTCCCGGGCTGCAGGGCACAAGGTGCTGGGTGGCAGGAGGCTTGGGACTGGGCACCTACCCACCACACTCAGCTGGTGCCCCACACCCCCTCCTCCCCTCGGTGCCTGTTGCACACACACCCTGGAGCTGGCAGGGCGCTGTGATACCCCCTTCCCCATGGGACTAGCCTGGCTGGGGCGCTGATGGGCTGGTGGAATCCCTTGAACAGACAGATGGTAAGTGGGGTGGGACGCACCTGTCTGAGTCCATCCACCCCCTGGAAGGAAAGCTCCACGAGGATAAGGACTGTGCTGTTCACCAGTGTTTCCCCTGCCCTAGAGTTTGGTATGCGGCGGGCGCTCAGTGACCACGGGAATGCAGGGATCCGGCTTGTGCCATCTCTTTGCTCTCCGCTCACACTGTCCACTCATCCACGCATGCATTGCGCAACTGTTTACTGATGTGCATCCTGAGTCGGGCACCGCGCCCGCGCCGAACCAGACAGACCGGCACTGCCCACGTGGGACTGGCCAGTGCCCGGCGGGAGCAGCGCCTCCCACCCCAAGCCCGCGGGAACGTGGCCTCTCGTGCTCCCTCGGAGCCGGGCCGGGCGTCCGTCCTCCCACCGCCTCCCGGCCCCGCAGCTGACCCTCCGTCCCGTCCGGACCGTCTCCCCGAGGCTGTTTCGCTCCAGCAAAAGCTTCCTGGCACCTCTCCGGATTCAGCTCGGAAGGCCAGGCGGCTCCTGGAACCTCGTTCCTGCCCTCAAGCCCGGGTTCCCCGGGGGGAGGCCGAGGCAGGACAGCAGGAAGGGTAGGACGCCCAGCGCTAAGCTGCAGCGCGGAGAGGTCCCTCGGGAATTCAGGGTTCAGGCCTGCTCCAGCTGATCGTGAGTCCCTGGGAGCGGCGCCCTCTTTCTGCCCTTCCACGTAGCAGGCTGACTTCCCCGAGGTCCGGGAGGGTTCGCGCTCCCGCACTCGCCGGGCCTGCCCGCCCAGCCCAGACCCCGCCCCTCCGGTCCTCTTAGGTCCCACCCATCCCCGGCTCCGTCCCACACAGCCCAGCTAGGCCAGGTCCAGGTCCCGGTTTGGCCCCGCCCCCCACTGGCCTCGTCCCTCCTAGGCACCTCCCTTTCCAGGCCCCGACCCCTGCCCTAGGCCGCCTTACCCGTGCTCCTTCCAGGCCCCGCCCCCGCCCCGGGAGCCCCCTCCGCGGCCGCCCTGCCCCAGCCCGAGACACGTCTGGCCTAGCGCGAGGAGCAGCCGGGGGCGGAGGCCGCGAGGTGAGGGGCCCAGGACCGGTGGGTAGGGAGGGGAGGCGGCCGCGGTGCAGCTTCCCCTTGCAGCAGAGGGGGAGGGGGGCCTGGCTGCCTCCGAGTGGCCCCCGCCCCCCGGGGGAGTCGCGCTGCTGAAGAGGGAGTGTTAAGAATGGGGTGGTTAAGGAGACCTGGGGTAGGAGGCGCCCCTTATCTTTCCCGGACATAACCCGCGGAGGGGCTGCCAGGTCCCCAAACACCTCCCTCGGGAAGCCCGCGGGGCCACTGTCCCCTTGGCTCTCAAGACCCGCTTCTCTAGCCACCTTTTAAAATTTTACGTCTTGAGGCATCGCAGGAGCTGAGCCGCTGGCCGGGTTCTGACGGTCTCCCAGGGCCCAGAGGCTTCAGCACCGACGGCAGCACCCTCCGCTTTGTAAGTTGTGGCATCCTGGGAGATGTTTGGTGTGAAGGAGTCTAGAGGGAACGCTCTTCACACCCTCCCAGGAGGTGGTCGGAAGCACCTGGAGAGAAGTTTCCCTGCCCCCACTCACTCAGCTGAACAGCATCTGCAGGTTCCCAGCCCCAGGTTCCGTTTGTGGTATGACTGTCAGATGGGTGCTGGACGTCTGTCTACAGAGAGAGTGAGGTGGGAGGGAAGGCACGAAACCCTCAGGGCCCAGCACTGGGCACCGCCAGGGTGACGAGACAGCCACTGAGTGCTCTACACCAGCCAGGAATACCTTCAACAGGAAATAACAGGAAACCCCACTATCCCAGGCCTGAACCAAGAGGGTGGATTTTCTGCACACTCACAAGTCCACAGGTGGGGTGGCTGGTGTGAATTCAGTGACTCAGGGCTAGTGTCATGTGACAGGCTGGCTGCTGCAGTGCCAGCCATCACATCCACATCCAAGGCAGGAAGAAGATGGCTGCTGTTTCTTTCAGGAAAACAAAAGCTTCCCCCATCCCTTCTCTGCTCCAACTGACTTTGCCCATGGCTGGGTGACGTCAGAGGGCGGGGACCAGGATTATTATGCTTATCTCTGCCTAGCTGTGACTGTCACCTGAGGCTGGCATATTGCTGCCTGGAACAAGATAGGATTCTGCCCACAGGAAGAAGCTTTGTGGCTCTGATACAGCTCCTTGCTGTCCTGGGTTTGGGAAAGGGCGAAGCCAGAAGCATTTCAGGGATTTAAGAACAGCCTGGTTTCATGGTTAGTTTCTTGCAGATAAGTAGCTGTTGTGCCTTTAAGCTGCTGTGTCCAGGATTAGAACCTGAGGGAGAAAGGTCAGCATTGCCCAGGCTGGTGGGGCTGGAGCAAAGTCTCAGCCCCTCACAGCATGCAACCAGTCCCTGTCTGTCTGCGGCTGGGTGCGGTGAACAGATGGCAGACCCCATCTCTGACTCCTCTCCCGCTTGGGCTGGTTACTCACCTCCTGGTGGTCTGGCCCCGCTTGGGAAATCGGGACAATGACAGGGGCTGCTAGGTTAATGCCATGATGAGACAGATGCCCAGCAAGACCTGCCCGCAGCAAGTGTGCAGTGAATGGCAGCTGTCAGCCCCAGCACAAACTGCCTCTGCCTCTCCAGTGCTCAGGCGAGCCAGGCACTGTGGGGTACAGGGAGGAACTACCAGGCCGTAAGGCTGTGCCCCCTCCTGCTCCGAGCACCACCTGGTGCCACTCCTTTCTAGTCTCTGCTTGGCCCCCTGAGCCCCTGGACCCCCAGCAGACCCTGCCTTAGCACTGAGGGGGCCCATGCCTCAGCACCTCTCAAGGCTGCAGGAAGGGGAGGGGCTGCAGACAAGCCCAGGGACATAGCTGCCATTGCTGCCCAGGGCTAGCCAGGCGTCCTCCCTACAGGGCTGGCGGTACCAGCCACTGCCCCCAGGCCCGCCCACCCAGACTCCCCAGAGATGGGCACCAGGGCCTCATCTAGCAGGAATGGGGGAGGCAGTTATCAGGGGACACAGGCACCCTGACACCAGCCCAAGGACCCACAGTATCCTCTTCTCCGAGGGTGGCCCCAGGGGCCCGGACTCCCTTGATGAATGTCCAGGCCTCATGGCCATGCGGGAGCCCCAGGGAGTAATTTGGAATGAACCCGGCCCTGGCTGCCTGCTAGCCCTTGGGTTAGAATTCCAACTTTGCCTCTTCCTCCCAGTGGCCCCGGGCAAGTCACTTAAACCCTCTGTGGAATGGGCCCAGAGCTGCTCCTGAGACACTTGGGTAAGGGGTTGGCGCCTGCACCATTAGTGTTTCTCACCCCTGGGAGGCCCTGATCCCCTGCCTCAGTCTCCCCTCAGGGGAAGGCCTCAGCTGACCCTCTGCCCCTCCCCTACAGCATGCAGCCCCAGGAGAGCGGTGTCCAGTATAGCCGGTGGAAGGAAAGTGGCCAGGATGAAGTCAGTGTGGTGGCCGTGTCTAACAGTGAGGAGACCTCTTGCTGTGAGAGGTGAGGAGGCCCCTACCCTATCCCCCACCCACCAGCCCTGACAGGTGTGTTGTCCCCTCCCTGCATACTGGCTTTGTCCCTACTGTGGGCCTTACCAGTTCACGCTCCCCCACCCTGGGGCCCAGCCCTCTGCTCCAGCTGTAGCCTGAGGGCAGGATAAGGCTCCCAACTTCTCCTGACCTGCAGGCTGCCCTCAGGTCCTAGCCTACCCATTGCCTACCCTGCCCTGAGCCCACTTCTCCTCAACCATCATCCCTTTGAGGGCCCACTCCTCCCCAGCAGATCCCTTAGGGTCCCTCCTGCAGCCCTCCCCTGAGGCTCACATGAGGCTTTTCTCATCCCAGGGTCTGCTGGAAGCTGTGCACGGGCAAGCTGGGCATCATCATGAAAGTGGTGGGAGGAGTGGCCTTCTTCTGGGCTGTCTTCATCCTGGGCTATGTCACTGGCTACTTCGTGCACAAGTGCAAATAGATGCTCTTGGGGATGAGTGCATACCTGCAGGACACAGGCTGGGAGGAATACTCCCATATACACAGCCCCCCCCGCAATGTACACAGCCCTCTCATGTACATGGACCCCCCTCACCCTTATGCACACACCCCAGGGGACAGGCCTGCTGATGAACACAACCCACGTGCACACACATTGGCACCAGGTACACAGGACACTGCACAGATGTCAAAGGCCCTGCAGAAGGGCACATGGGCAAACGGACATGGGTACACATGGGACAGACACCCACAGAGACACATATGCTTGGCACACATTAAATGAAATAAAAATGGACTCGTGTGGTTGACAAAATGGTGTCAGCAGTCAAGTGGACAATGCCCTTAAAACTTTTCTTTTTCCCCCCAAAATTTAAGCCTAATAAAACCTCTTGTAATTACCTAGCTTTCCTGTAAGTCAGGCCACCGTTGTTGACCAATGAGCTCCTTAAATTGTATGAGCCAATCAGAAATAAGCTTTTGCTTCCTCATTCTGTCAATAAAAGCCAATCACAACTGATATTCAACAGAGTTCCTTTCTACATGTGGATTGGTGCTACCCGATTCTCGGATCTTCTGCCCAAATAAACCTCATCCATTAGATTAATTTTATTATTGACTCAGTTTCTTTTAACAATTTTTGGCGTCAGAAGTGGGATTCTGCAGGAGACTCCGAGGACTCCGCTGTGGAAGCAGGCTTAGTACCTGCAAAGCTCTTTGGGCTTTCTGTCTTCATGTTGTTTGTGGAGTTATCTGGTAAGTTTCCTCTCAGATCCAGACTTTGCTCTTTCTGCATTTTGAGTGCTCTGAGCTTTATCTGGTACCGGGCAGACTGGGTCTGGCCCTCTTGATGAACTAGGTTCGTTTGGGTTTTTCTACTACTTGCAGGTAAGACATAGGGTCCTGAAGATCCAAGGAAAGCTGGTGAACTTTATGATTAAAAATGGATGAAACTGACTTAAGAATAATATAGAACTACAATGGCCATTATGGGGAAGTTTTCAGATAGATAAGTTAAAGCATCTCAAAGGATCCCTCAAGAAATGCAGTATTCTTTGGAAGTCTTCAAACACCAAAATGATTCCAAATTACCTTCTCTAAGAGATACTGTTGACAAATTTTCAAAAACTAATCAGGAACTAATTTCTAAAGTCAAGAATTTCACTCGGGACTGATTGGTTGTCTTTCAAAGAATGCCCAATAGACCTGATGGACAGGACACAGACTACCCATCCACCTCTTTAGCCTACCTTACCCACTTACTCTTTGTCCTGCTTACCTGACTCCAAGTCTCTTCTGGCTGAACTTTTCTGTCTCTGCAGCCCCTCTCCACAGATGCCCTTCAAGGTTAAACCAGCTAATGATACCACTCCTGACGAGAGCCAGAAACCGGACCAGATTTCTTATATCCCCTGGTCAAAAGCAAAATTACTAGCTATTTTAAAGGAATTTCCCAAACCCAGGGAGGATCCTCAAAAATACACTGAGGAATTTTGCATCCTAATGGGAACATATAACCCTGACCTCCCTAACTTATATCAATTAATTCATATGCTTATGAGACGAGGGGATGCCCAACATTGGGTGCAAACGGTAGAATGGAAAAACCTGGAAAAGGATGTAGGGGACCCTAAAAATTTCAGGCCCTCTAAACAGGTCATAAAAGGAGCCTGAAGGCTGTTCTTAAAACTATTCCTAAGGCTTTCTCCAGGAAAATAGATTGGTCAAAGGTACACAATTGTAAACAACAAAAATAGAAAATAAGATTATGAAAATGTAATATTTTCCTACCTCTGGATGGTATTATCAAATTAGATTACAATATTCCCTAAAAGAGCTTTATTCTGATTGGATTAGTGATAAATAAGCACTTATATAAATTGAACAGTCCTAATATTCCCAGGAATTAATGAAAGTGAATTCATTCTGACAAAAGTTTTTATGTTTTGTAGTATGTCAACTTAAAAGCAGTTTCCAAGATCTTTTTAGTAGCTTACGACATCATGCTTGGTTAAAGTAGAGGGTCAGCAAAAGAGAGGAAGACCTTCAGTGAGATGGACTGACACAGTGGCTGCAACGATGGGCTCAAGCACAGCAGTGACTGTGAGGATGGCACAGGACTGGGCAGTGTTTCATTCTGTTGTACACAGGGTCACTATGAGTCAGGACTGACTCAACGGCACCTAACAACGACTGGCTAGATTGAGTATATGGCATATGTTTTGTTAAGAGAAAAGAGAGTAACAAAGTGATACTTGTGAAGAGTGTGCCTCTTAGTCAAGTAGATACAAGAGACCAAAGAGGCAGATTCTGTCCCGAGGTGAGATGGGAAGGCAGAGAGAGTTAGGAGCTGGTTAAATGGTCATGGGGAATCAGGGGCGGAAAGGAGGAGTGTGCTGTGGCAGAATGGGGTGAGCAATTAGGGTCTCATAACAATGTATGTATAAAAATTTTGTATGGAAGACAAACTTGAAATGTAAACTTCATTTAATTACAACAATTAAAAAAAAAAAAAAAGTAATTTTGTCCTAAGGTAAAGAGACTGGTTGTTCCAGAATGAGAAAAAGGTAAGCATAAGACCAAACCTAGATGGGAAAAAAAAAAAAAAAAAGAAAAGGCTAGCCAAGATTTGATGGGTTTATTTATTATAAAGTTGCTTGAAGAGCTTTGGTGAAGACTGGGTTTCTCTTAGTAAAGGGTGATAAAAGGTTATGATAGTTATGATAAAGAAGGAACGCTAAACTGATTACCAAGAGAATACTAAAAGGAAGAGTCAAGGGACTTCTCCTGACAGGGTGGAAATCCTTTGAAGATATTTAAAAATAGAATAAATACGATGGACACTGAAGGGTTTAAAACAAATACTGTCTTAATACAGTTATCAGAAATTGGGTGGCTCCTCAACATTAAAGAACCATAAAACAAGCCCTTTCTGTTGTAGAATTTAAAAAAGCTAGAAGATAAAGATCACAAGGAAAAACACGAAGATCACAAAAAAAATTGGGAAATGTTTAACTGAAATACAGATGAAGAAAAGATTCCTTGTTCCACTCTAGCCAGAGACCTACGGGTATATCCATATCAATGAATAAAAGGGGCAGATTAAGCAGAGACTTTGTGATTTCCAAAACAAATTGATAAAATCTTAAAAGGGCTAAGGTTGGATTTAAAAAAAAAAAGATTGATTTAAAAAAAGGTAAAAGATTATATGAAAATTCAGAATATTTAAATGAACTGTTTCAACAATAATTATGTTTTGTGTCATATAGGCTTGAAGATAATTTCTAAAATTTTTAGATCTTGAGTTAATAATTGAGTTAATATAGATTATAATTTAAATTTATGTACCTTTGCTTTTTATTTATACACCACAAAGAGAATATGTATTTGGGTTTGTTAATAAATGTGTTAATTTTTGTCACTTAAAAAAGTTGTACTATAAGAGATATGTGATAAAGACCGAAAGCTTAAGAGGTTTATAAAAAGGAATTTTATTTGATATGATCAAAGATTTTATCTGTCATGGCTAAAGTTTAATAGATTAATTTATGAGATTTCTAAGAGCTTTAGTAACAAATAGTATGTAAAGCAAAATTTGGGTTTCTCTCTGTTAAAATGACAAAATTGTCATTAAGGTTGTTAAAGAGTTAACTTCTGAATAATCTCCCTAGAAGGCAAAAGTTACTTTGTCTCATTAGAATAAACTCCTGAGTTCACCTTGAAAACCAAGTGTCTTAGTTATCTATTGCCACTTTAACAGAAATACCACAAGTGGGTAGCTTTAACCAACAGAAATTATTTTCTCAGTGTAGGAGGCTACAAGTCCAAATTCGGGGCACAGGCTCTACGGGAGGGCCCTTGTCTCTATTCGCTTGTTTCTTGGTTACTTGGATAGCTCATGTGGCATCTATCTTCCCCCATCAGTGCTTCCTTGCTTGCTTGCTTTCATGTAATCAGCTCTTTTATATCCCAAAAGAGGCTGATGTAAAAAACTCCCTACACTAATACTTTCTCGTTAACATAACAAAGGAAACCCATTCCCAAATGGGATTATAACCATAGGTATAGGGGTTAGGATTTACAACACATTATTTTTGGCAGACATAATTCAATGTGTAACACCAAGACTCATGGCTTTTGAAAAAGCTAAGGTTTTTACTTTTTAATCTTTTTTTTTTTTTTTTTTGGTCACTTTGGTTAAATCGCTATCAAAGCATTGTGACCTATGATAAACTCCTGACAGCTTTGAGAAAAGTGGTAGAAATAATGAGGGTTATTTAATGTGTTGTGAATTACATGAAAAGTGTTGCCAAATCAAAAGTGTCTAATTTTCTTTGGGTTAAAAACTTGTGTCAGTGTCTCTTATGTTTTGATTGATATTAGATAACAAGAGTTTTAAATTGCTGACTTGGTTGCAGCTTGATTTATTTAATTGGAATATAGCATCATTGAAGCCACTGGTTTTAACTGGGGAAATCACATCTTTTACCTATGGAATTTTATTAATATTCAGATATTTAGAGATTTGATATTGGTATATTTTATGTCTCAGGGTTATTACATGTTATAGCTGAAGTTCTTTGAAAATAGGGTTTTTCATTATGGCTAGAGATACTTTGTCTAAAGTTTTTTTAAATTGGCTTTATTTTGCTTTCCATTACGTTTGTAATGAATTATCATCAGAGTAGTATTAGTAATAAGTTAACCACGACAATTTTAAATTTTTGTTGTCTGCAGAGAGTTTTTACTTTGCTGACACCCTGAAAGTGCCTCACCAGAGCATTTCAACCCAAACCAGACAACATCAGAGACTTATGGAAAGGAGTCTACCATGTATTGTTGACCACTCACTGTGCAGCTACACGAGAGGGAACTGAACCTTCAGTCCACATATCTCGACTCAGGCAAGCTCCTCCATCCATCTGGACTGCAACGCTGACGGGTGACCTCAAGATAAAACTTTTCTCGAGATAACCCAGAAGCAGACAGTCGTTGGATGTAGACATCTTTCCCAAGACCAACAGAACAAGTAACCCAGTAGACTTTTAAACATTCTTTTGATAATGAACAAGTTGATTGTATTTGTTTGTTTATCCCTGC